ACATGGATTAGCCTACCTCTAATCCCTATCACAAGACTTCCTCCACCACGACAAGACACACAGAAACTAAAAAATATGCCCGGGCTGCTCTACTTCACAAACTACCATGTTCATGACCACGAAGGTTTCAAAGAATATCCAATAGATGAAAACAAGCACTCGGACAAGATTTATAGACCAAAGGAGCGGCACATGGACTAGGAGTACCAACGAAATAAGCCTAACAAAGGACACAAAGAAAAGACAGACTCAATAATGGATGACTCAAAGTAGAGGAAATAAGATTAAGACGGGCATATTCGGAAGAATATACCAAAGACAAGACAACCCGTGAACAAAAGGCATTTACACTCAACCACCACCATACAACTACATCCGACAACAAAGAAACTATCAAAGAATACGCCAAGACCTCGCATCCGAAGTTCTTCCCGAACAAAACAACACGGATATACGCTGGGGGCTCTCGGCCAAAGATCATAGCTTAATCAACACTAAGCTAGGGAGCTCGGCCTTCATTTCAACTACTCCCGGGGCTCGAAACCAAAGACAAAGGACCAAGAGTACAAGAAACTCAAGACTACAACGACGACGACACATCAAAACTCTTCATCCAACTTCTTTTCTAAAGAGAAGAACTCGGAGAAAGCACGGGTCATGGGATACATAGCCCTGCAATTTTTTGAAGACAAGAATCTGACCTCCAACTTTTGCAAGCAAAAGCAAGAGGCTCGGGGCTACACTTCGGTGAGTGCAATTTTTACTGAAAAATTGCACCCACCCAAAAAGAACCCGGACATAAGCTCGGAGGCTGCATGCCACGAAACTACTCGGATGATGGTTTAATCCAAAACTAAAGGGCCGCTTCGGAAAGATGTCGCAAAAAACTACTCGGATGATGACATAATCCAAGTCTCGGGGACTACTTCAGAACACAAATTTTCAAACAACATAAACGATCAAGACCCTCCAACTTTTTGTTCCAAATAGCAAGAGGCTCGGAGGCTACACTCAGTGAGTGCACTTTTTTCTTCGAAAAAGCGCACGTCACCAAAAGAAGACTTCCTCAACGCAGACCACTTCAAGACATTACGACAAAAAGAACCCGGAACGAGCCATATTCGAGTTCTTTTTGATAAAACTTCGACGAACAATCAGAGCAACTTCAAGACAAGATCCTCCAGCTCCTTATTCCAAATAGCAAAAGGCTCGGGGGCTACAACCAGATGGATGTACTTTTTCTTCAAAAAGCACTCGCCACTCGAAGATCCCAAGAAGCGCTACAAGGTTTCACTCCAGAAAGCACTCGGATGACATTTTGTTCCTACTCAACAAGATGTGAAGGAGCAAAGCGAGACTTTCAGAGCTCAACCATGAAGTGCTCGGGAGCTTGTCGATGCGGGACCCACAGGATACCCCGCAAGGGAGAGAGAAGATCCAGTTCAACTAGGATTCTTTCCATGTAATCTTAGTAGTAGAACTATTAAGTAATCCTACTAGGAAATCTCATTGTAAACCGACTAGGACTCTGGCCTCCTGACTATATAAAGGAGGGCAGGGCTCCTGAGAGAAGAAGACGACAATTGTACAACATAACACTTCATAATCAATCCAACGCAAAGGCCAATGCCGACTGGACGTAGGGTCGTTACTCGATCTACGATCGAGGGCCTGAACCAGGATAAATCGACTGTCTCTTGCGTTTACCATCGAGTTCAGCATACGCCGAAGCCCGAACATACTGCCCCGGGTACCCCCGTGACAGGCTATCGGTGGTGAAACATCGACATTATCCTCCTTTTCTTTTTCTAAGTCCACAACCACTTCGCCCTTACTTCCAAGTTGCTAACTATACAGTGTAGAACTTGTGTGCATGTGTGTTAGTATTTTTCAAAGCATTTTATAAGGGTCAAAGTTAGCACACTAGATTCCTAAATACATATGCAAGAATCATGTCACCTAGTGGCAATCTATAACCGCTTAGCCAAAGATTTTTCCTCTTTATAGTACGGCTATCTATCATAAATGCACTTACACCCTCTATGGTGTCTTAAGTGCCAAAACAAAAACCTATCTTATATATTTGCCTTGATCTTATTGGTTTTTGTTTTTCTCTTTCTTCTTTTCTAAATGTGAAGCACTTAATCATCTTTTGGTCATCACCATCTATCATGATCTTCCTCTTGCTTTACCACTTGGCATGAGACCATCCTTTCATGTATACATACTTAATATAATTATTAGTCCCTAGATTTCATCAATTATTCAAAATCAAACTAGAGTCTGTAGTGATGCTCCCACCGTAGTGGTCAGCAGCTAGGCGCTCCCCGAAAAATAGGTAATTTCAACCGATCCGAAACTGGGGACTTCCACATCTTGGGACATCGGAGCCGCATGAGCAGGACTCCATCGCGCATCCGACGGTAAGCTTGGCCCAGCCAAGCACGAGTGAGGACAAAAATGGCGCGAAGAGAGAAAAAGAAAAGCACGAGCGAACTGCACAAACGCGCACACGACTGTGACAAAAAGGCACAATGTGAACTGCATAGACGGCGTGTGGCCCGTCTCAAAAATAAAGAAACAACGAAAACGGCGTGTGGCCGAGGAGGCACAAAAGGTAATCGTCGGATTATTTCGTCGTCAAAGGGGATGATTCGCTGGATTACTCAAGCGATGGAGGGACGAGCTTCTTAATTTTGTGTGTAAGTATTCTTTAAAAATTGACTTTGTCCTGCCGTATTTTGCATGAATGGCACCTGCAATTAATCAAACTTTCATCACATTCCTATATTTCAGGTGCCTGAATTTTAAGATAATTTTAGACAACACTCTTGTACCACCAACTAATACAAGTAAATTATTACTTTTCTGATTTGTTATTTGTATTTGTGTTATAACATATTAAACTTTTGTCCTTGTTTACCTATAGAAAATAATTGTTAATTATGTTTGTGCCAACACAAATAAGATTTTGTCGGGTTTGTGGTTTTATCTAACGGGTTTTTTATTCTCACTACCGAAAGTTGCGATTGTGCCTACAAAAATTGCAAGGAATGAAATATGCAATTTTAATATAAAATATATGCAATAACCAAGATCTGAAAGAAAACTAAAACTTAGACACCTGAATTTTAGCAAGTCCCAACTTTCATCATGAGATTGGTTTGCACATAGATCAGGCTTACCTTCCAGAAAAAAATATCATTTTGAACTTTACATTTACATCGTTTAACCTGTTAGATGAACCTTTTGAATTCTTCTGTAGGTATTGGCACAGCAACATGAACAACGTCAAAATGAATAAAACAGCTCATAGAGAATCGGTTCGTGGTTTTAAGGTGATGGCTGTCTGATGCACTTTTTCTTGTTTGCTATTGCTAACAAGTTCATGTTCAATGTGTGCTGAAACGTGTCCTTCAAACAGTTTCTTTTTCCAGATCAGACTTGAAGTTCTGCTCCTGCTCTGATGACAGAACTGTGAAGGCTTAGGACTTCGCAAGGTGCCAAGAGGAAAAAATCATTAGCTAGTAATGTTGCTAATTTTTCTTGCAAATATTAATCTGACTTACCATTGATCATTTGAAGTTATCAGGTGATATTACTTTGTTTTTTCATCAAATTACCTGAATTTCCCTTCAACTCAGCCAGGCCACGGTTGGCATGTTAAAAATTGTCGATTAGCCTATTTTGTAGGTGCCGTAGTTGCCACGCCTGACCTTCAGCTACCTGTGGCTGTCACAGAAAGAGTGGCGAGCAAAATCGAAGCCACATTTATGACAAAGTTTGACACGAAAATGAGTTTATGACATATGTGATAGAGTGCTAAGAAGTGTGGCACGCCATAGTTATGGCAGTGAACCAAATAGGTATCGAAAAGACTATGGCATAACCAACCTTTAGCGGGGCAATGCAAGTTTTGGTCACGAACAAAACGTTCGTACTTGTTTCATGAGTTTAATCATGCTATAAACTTATTCAATTATGTGCTCAATAGGTGGCAAAGACTATCTTGTGAACCTTTGGGATGCAAAAAAAGTGGCAGAGAGCTGAGCCTGTTATCGGTGTTCCTGCCACTTCCATATTTTGTTAATTCTTGATGAAGATCTGTGTTACGATATTGATCTGTATCTACAGCCATGGTCATCAAAAGATTGTGCATTGTGTAAAGTGGAGTCAAAATGGGAACTAGGTACTGATTGCCTCAAAGGATCAGATTATCAAGGTCTGTGACTTGTGTTTTTGTACCTTGCTCTGTTTTTCTTGTCTTCTTCAAAGCATTGTTGAATGGCAGTATACACTTAGGGTTGGTTAGGCACCGAATGGAATCAGTTCGTCCGACGTTTTTTTGCGGAACCAGTTCGTCCGAGAGATTAGCTAGCCTTGTTCACGGAACCGCTGCATGTGGAACCGCTGCATGACGGACGAGTGAATGGCGTGCCGCAAACCAAATGCCTCATCTAGGCTCGGATTTTGGATCGGATGATTCCGGACTGCTTCATGACTTGAACCAAACACGCTGTTATGTAACCAAAATTCTAGTGCTGGCTATGGAGATGGGCAATCCATCCTTGTAATAAATAGCTTTGTTTTCTGATGCCAGTAAATTATTAATTTTTGGCACAGTTGCTAACTCTATTGCTAGTTCGTTTTGCAGCTGTATGGTATTGGTAACATAGTACTAACATAGAGAGCAATAGCAGCAAAGATAAATATCAACCGCGCGGATTACGGATTAACAAGAGGAGAGTTGGAACTGAACCAGAAACATAATTCGCGAGAAGGCCGTGTCTGAAGGCTGAAGCAAATAAACATGCGCAGAGCCTGAACAAGACAAATCACATGCGCGGAGAGCCAGAGACCGCTACAAGACTTGCTCAGCATCCAAGGTCACGGGTACGTACACATTTGTGTGACAAAACACGCTGTGATCTTGACGCACGCATCCTCTCCGACCCGGCAAAAAGAAAAGCCCCACGACGACGACCGACCGATCGAGCTAGCTAGCTGGTACTGGTATACAGCAGGGACGCCTTGCACCTGAGCACGAAGCCGAGGAGGAGCAGCATGGCCAGGAGGCCGCCGGAGGACCCCCACACGCGGTGGATCCAGTAGGGGTCGAACCTGACGACGCGCCGGTCCATGAAGCACGTCACGTTGATGGCCACGATGAGCGCGACGAGCACCGCCGGCAGCCACAGCGCCGACGGGCCGCCTTCGTCGTCCTCCTCCTCCTCGCACTCCGACGCGGGCCGCCGGTCGATGTACAGCGGGGACAGCACGGCCAGGACCGCCAGCACGAAGCACACCAGCTTCTCCGTGGAAGAGGACCTCCCCATGGCGACGAGGACGAGGTGCACCGTGCACGGCCTCTCTCTCGCTCTGCTCTCTCAGAGAGAGTCTGGTGCCTATGTAGCGCGCGTGTAGCTGTGCTTGTGCTTCTTGAGAATGAGAATAATGTTTCTTTATGCTAGCTAAGCTAGGAGTAGGAGTCGATGTTTGGCGGCTGGCTGATGAAGATGAACCAACCAATCTTCAGACGCAAGGAGAGAACCTTTCGTTATATCTATCTTTCACCAATCCGGCCGCATGGCTTTTGACTACTAGCTAATTGATTCCTACTGTATATATCATGCATGCAATGCAAAGGAACATATTCAGATTGTCTTGCATGATCTATGTATGTATCCACGGACTATTGGTGGTGGGCATTGGACTGTGACGTAAAGGAGATTCTTCAGAGCTAGTGAGCCTGGAATCAGATGCCCAGAGGCAAGTAGTGGTTCAAGTGCTCGACAGCCCCGGGCCTAGGAAGGTCGAATCAAACGGTTCTCTGATCATCTATCTTGCTGGAAATAAAGGATCGGCAAAGTAAAGCTAGCTATAGCTCTATGATTGTGTGATCATATTCAGATTTATATATTGTTCTGGAAGATGCAAAGCAGTAGCAATTCGACGTCATAGGTTCGATCTGCAAGATTATATTAGTACAGCGGATTTGGGGTATATAATCCGTACGGGGTACGGCCCCGTCTCGTTGAGACTGCTTACGCGTACGTGTTAGCATTAGGGGCAAGCAGTGGAAATGGAACAAAGGACTGTCCGCGTGTTAACGCAGTGGCAGAGACAGAGACAGGAGCATCACTTTTATCTGCTCATCTTGCTGCTGTTTATTTGGGGAGTAAACAGAAAACAAGCGTGAGCCCTAAGTTTGGTATCCAGTGCGATTGATGAGTTGGTTTATTGCATCTGAAATCATGAAATGGGAAGCCAAGCAGGTCAGCAAAGTAAGTCTGGGATGAGTAGTTCCTCAAAAAGAAGCGGAATAAGGTGTATCAAAAGGTCCTACTACACACTAGCTTAGCCGTTGGCATGCATGTCACAGGAGGTACTTAACTGAAAGCACAAGGTAGGCGCAAGTTGACGAGCGTGATTATGTGATCAAAGTCCAGAAGTATGTACGCGGCCACCCTGCAACTGCTGTAAGTGAGCTGATTCCCAACGCCACGCAGGCTGCTAACGTGGCAACAAAGGAAGGCCACCTTTATTCTTGTTTGATTGAATACAAGCTCTTTGTATTATTTTCTTTACCAACATCTGGCGTTGTTTAGTTTCTCTAGCTTATATAGGAATTCGGATTTGTCCGCAAACCCATAATTAGGCTTATTTTTTGTGGGTTCACAGACAAACCTGTTTGTATTCCTCTTGCCAATTTTTTTTTATAAACTTTCTTGCCAAAATTTTGATAAGGCGAAAGCATTTAGTTTGCTAACCAATACATCTGCGATATTCACTACTTGATACTTACATGTTACAACTTTGTATTAATTTGGTCTTTTACTTCGTTGCCATAAAATTGATTCTAGAAGACAGCCTCACTAATTAACAGAGGTGAACACATCTAAAGACCGTCTTTGAAAATGGTCAGACTGCCTCTAGGCAAATGCCCGCCTCTAAAAATCATTTATAGAGGTAAACATCGATTTACGGAGACAGACGCCTTAGGATGCCAATCTTTATAAATCGATTTTGGAGGCGGACATCTTTGGCCATCTCTGAAAATTGCTATTAACAAAGACGGTCATCCTAAGCATCCGTATCTAAAAGTCGATTAACAAAGACAGGCATCTTGACACGATCTAAAACTTTGTAGTTGAGAAGTTTTTGATTAAAACTGTTTAGAGTCCAAAAATGTTATTATTTTAACTTCTCAGATTTTAAAATGTGAAATCTAAATTTTTCACATGTTGTCATGGTATATACCAAAGTTATAGATATCAATACAATCTTCAACTTTGTAGTTGAAACATTTTTTAATTTGAGGTTGTTTAGAGTCCAAATATGTGTTTTAAGTTCTTAGATTTTGAAATTCAAAATTTAGAATTTTCAAACCACCTTGAATGTTTACATGGTTAATACCAAAGTTGTAGTGGTTGACCCAATCTACAAGTTTATTGTTGACAAGTTTTTTATTTGAATTTGTTTAGAGTCTTAAACATTTGTTTTAAGTTCATATATTTTGATATTCAAAATTTTCAAACAATCTCGAATAAAGATATATCCTATATCAAAGTTGTAGCCCTTGACAAGATTTAAAACCTTATAGTTGAAACTTTTTTTATTTGAAATCATTTAAGGGTTGAAATAAAAAATGCAAAATTATAAAATGTTGATATTATAAAATGATAGCTGTCTATACAATCACAAATGAGTGTATAGTCTAGTGATAGAGAAACGCTAGACGTGCTGAAGGTCATGAGTTTGAATCCCCAAAGATACTATTTTTTTTTTGGTTTTGGGTTTTCTAAAAACCGGTAATAGAGGTGGACATCTTAAAGTGTTTGCCTCTGTTAACTGATTCACAGAGGTGGCCACATGCCCACCACTGAAAATAACAATTTAATAGTGCCCATTTGCCAGAAATGGATGCGCTGCCCATCTCTGCTTAGTATAATGTGTGATGATTTTTGACCAAACCATTGTAATGATTGCTAATGTGTATCTCCAAGAGAGTGAAAAAAGCCTAAATTTTGTTTGGCCTTGATCCAAAAAAAAATAGATGTAAATTTATGATAGCAGAAAAGATGTCACGAATTTCCTCATTTTTAGCTCCCTCAACAGCCGTTCTATTTTAAAATAGTAGCAAAAATCATGTGCATGTGTTCTCTCCTCTTGCTTAGGTCAGTCAAAGTGAGATATAATGAGAGTTTTTAAATAATAAATAAACTATCAACTTAGTAAATATGCTAACATGATACAATATCGGTGAAGAAAAAGAGGATCCAAGTTTTATGAGAATAAAATCAGTTTCATTAGGATAAAATAGTTTTTCGAGAGAGCCCTAAAAAATTAAACACCTCCCATTTTTTGACAACATACATAAATGGATAAACTCAACCCCCTTCCCCCCACGCGCTGGAGGCCCACCCTAGCCAGCCGCTAGATTGCCCATTTGCCTCTGGCGACTGTTGACCGGCTAGTGGTAACCGGAGATCGGCCAAAAAGGTCATATTGGATCACGTAGTAGGTTTTTAAAGGTTTTTGGCACACAAAATAGCGTGATATTGGAGGAAAACTTTTTGCACCGAAAAACATATGAACTTTGGTGAGTGTTTGAGGCAAACCCAGTGAGAGTGTGAACATGAATACTCAATTTTAGAGTGTTTTTTATTATGTGCATCTACCTCATAAATTTTGTAGATAAAACATATAATTTGTTAGGTTTAGTATTATATAAGAAATTAATGGTAGAGAAAACAACCTATAAAGCAGGGTAACCCTTATTTATTAGGCTACTCTTGTGGATCGAGTTAGACATACTTATTTGGTTGTGGGTTTTGGTGCATTGATGGGACACTGGCTTGTGGATGGTTGGGATGGACCAACTTTATAAGCAAGACTCATGGGTTGTTGGAACGGGACCAACTATAAAAGTGAAGAGTGTTTGGAAATGTCTATTTATCCGTTGAAATTATAGCAGATGTTGCTTAATTCCATCCATACATTTTGGAAATCCATCAATCATCACCCTGGAGCCCTCGTCACAACTGTTGCCCTCACCTTACACCATCCATTTGTTCCCTATCCATAAGCCATATTAGTATCACCATCTTCGATGATATATACCCCTCTTCTTTATGTTGACTTTATTGTCTCCTACTCAATCTCCTTGAACCATGACACATCCTCCTTGGGTGAAACCCTAACTTTGCTAGGTTTTCGAAACACCAAATTGAAGTTCATGGATTTGGGAGTTCAAAGTTGTTGTTTAACTTCATAATATGATATTATTTTATTTGAGGTATCATCTTGTTCGGATTCCAATTTTCAAACTTAGAGATCCTGAATCACATGTGACTTCTTAATTTTAAACTTGTTTCTCTGGTCCATTTTTTGAAAATATATTCGAGATGGAAGTTCAATACATTCAGTGCAAGCATCAAATATATGATGCGATCTTCTAATCTATGTGAGTTTCAAATGAGGTAGAATTCAATGCATTATATTAGTACAAAAGAGTGGGTTTTTTTCTCCCGACACTCGACTCCTCTCGACGCGCTCCTCTCCTCCCCACGCGGTGCTCTCCCTGCACGAGCTCCTCTCGGCGGCCGTGTCCAACTCTCTCTCTCTCCCCGGCAAGCCCCACCCTCGCGTGAGCTCGCCGGCCATGGCGGATCCGTCTGAGGTAGGCCTCCTCCTCCTCCTCCTCCTCCTCCTGATTTGCCAGTTAGGGTTCCGGCGAGCCTCTCCCCCTCTGTCTTCTCCAACTCTGGCGGGTATAGAAGGGGCCGGCGAGGGGAGGTAGGCGGACCAGACGGTGGGGATGGTGGTCGGGCAGGATTTAGGGGCCCTGGTGGCGGTGGAGATAGCCGAACCAGGGAGGGGCGGGGGCGTCGCGGTGGAGCTCGCCGGATTTGGAGAAGATGGCGGCCATAGGGGAGGGGGAGGGAAGAAGGCGGCCACCGTGGACGCCCTAGCGCGCCGGAGCTCCGGGGATCCCTAGCGCCCGTGGCGGTACGATGGTCAACGGCAGGAGAGAGGAAGAAGATGAATAGTAGTGCCGCTGTAAGCCGTTGGATGACCCGATCAACGGCCTATAAATCGGGTGTGTTGGGGTCTAAAAAAACCCGAGTGCTCTCTAGACATACTTTTTAACGGTTGCACAGAAAACTTTGCCGTCAATCGTCACAAGGATTACACTGAGAAAAATAGTATCTATGGGTAACACATGGTCCATCGTGTAGGCCAATCATGTAGCCAGCCTAGCCGCCGCCCGCCTTATCCGTATGGAAGACGGCGGGCCAGCGTGACGAGGCTTGGGCGCGTGCGGCCGAAGCATAGCACTGCACAAATGAAGTGGCCATCCGCCACCGGCGAAACACGACCAGCAAACCACGGGACCACACCCGTCAAGGCCCACAGAACAAGCGAAACGGATATAGACGAAAAAAAGGAGGAAAAATACTAGTAGTGCAGTAGCGGGCGACGCGGCCGCGAGGCACGCCGCACGCCAGCCAGCGGCCAGCGCTCGCCCCGCCGCCCTCCGGCATTTCCCATTCTCCCTCCCTGCCGCCGCTCCCCCGTCCTTCCCGCCGCGGACTCGCTACCCCGCCTCTCGTCTCGCGCACTAAGGGGCCAGGTGCCGGTTGCCGGCTCGACCTCTCCCTCATCCTCGCGGGGGCTGCTGCTGCCGCCGCGAGCATGGCCACCGGCGCCGTCACGCCGCCGCAGCTGGCCGGCGCGCGGTGCGTCCCCCGTGGACGGGGCTTCCTCCACCGGCGCCTCGCCGCCTCGCCTATGTGAGCACTTCCTTCGGTTGCTGTTGTGTTTTGGTTAATTCGGTATTACACATCCGCTTTGCTGTGTGGTGGTTTTAGATGCTAGAAATAACTGCAATGGAGGAAAGGGAGAAAATCCTGTCTGGAGAAGGAAGAGACGAACCAGGGGGATTTCAGGGCGTCGTTTGAGCATTGGGTTAGTTAGGTTGCTCATCCTTCACGTTAGACTCTGTGACTGGAAAGACTAGCCAATCAGTTCAATGCAGGATCACACTGTCATCATTTCCTTTCTTTGCGCAAAATTTGGCCGGTACTGGTTCATTGCGCCAATTCTCATGGCACGTGTTCCTTCAATCCAAAGGGGAAACCATAAAATGATGCGGCACTCTGTTTTTTTTATGAAAAATATGAAAGAGGAAAGAAAGGGGATAAGGATGTCCACATGGTTGTAAAAATAGAAAATAAGAAGGAAAATATGTAGTCTTGTAGTCTTTCTGGCTTTTTGGTTAATTCTTATGGCTTGGTATGGTGTAGTTCGAATGTTATACTCAACATTAGGACCACAATTGAACTTATTATTAGGTTCCACTGAAGCAAAGTCTTCAGTGATTATGTTCTTGCTTTTCCGTCAGAGAGCTAGCGTTGAGCACAACTTCATGCTTAGATCTTATGTCTATCGTTCCTTATTTTCATGTATAGTCATTTTTCTACCCCAGGAAAGATGAATCCATGATTTCCACAGATGGTGGAAATGAGGAGACAGACACTGGCAGCCTCAATGTTGCCAGAGGATTGTCTCACCCTGGGCTTTCCTCAAGTTTATCCAATAAGGCATCAGTGGTCCCAACCCCTTTGCTTCCTTCTGGACCATCTGATCTCCGGTTCAATCGTCTTCGACCCTCAATTGATGAAAGTGATTGCAAATACAAAAGATTATTTGGCTGCTATGTTGCTCGTGAGGCTGTAATCGATGAGGAATACTGGGTATTACTCTTGTTAAGTTGTTAGAACATATTGTTCATTTGTTCTGTTTAGCAGACATGGCTTCCACATGTATTTGTAATGGATTGATTGCTAACTATTGATTACTAACATATGCTAGCTATTTATAGCTTACATAACGCCACCTTTTATTCAGTGACCTACAATTATGATTTACTCTACCTACCACTATGCCTTACAAGTTACATCTCTCCTTACTAATGATTGATAGATCGCTGCATGGTTGAGAGCAGAAGATCACTACGAAAATGAGTCAGGCAATCGGTAAGACTTTTATCTTTAAGGGAAAGTTCTGTAGTCTTCCTTATTGTCTGTACTGCTATACATTTACTGTTAGCATGGTCCTTGCAGCTACTTTATCATTATTTTTTTTCCTGCAGCTATGTTGAAAGCTTTAAAAGAAAGTTTGCATCAAAGGTACTTGCGTAAACAACTTAGTAGTGTTTTCTGTGTGCTTAAAAGTAATTGAGATAGGATGTACATCTTCTTTGTAACAAGTAAATATTAAGAAATTACAATGACCTCTGTTCAAATAGCTTTGTTGATGCAACATTATAAATTATTCGCATTAATTTGTCACATCCCTATCATTTGATAGTTTCTGTTCTGGTTCACAAGTATCAGAGTCTGTCATCTCATTGCAGGAATTCCATGCATTAAAGAAGAGATGCAGCAAACAGCACGGAGAAAAGTATATCTGTTTTGTCGCGGTATGAGATAAAAATCTCTGTTTGATTTGTTCATCAAATTTGTCACTAGATCTTGGTTGCAGCATGTTTTGTTCATCAAGCATGTTGCAGGGAATCATGAACAAACCAAATTGTCTCTCTTACAATTGGCTATGATTAATGAAAGCCTCACTCTTGGCAACTATCTCAGTTTACATTCTGTTAAAGCTGTCTTTACTGATATTTTCTTCATTTTTTTCCACAGCTGAAAATATTGGTGCCTTATGCTTAATATTGCAGGTAAAGAATGATGACCTCAGGCGAACTGTCCTGAATAGTGTTGTTGGTACCTTAGATGTATGTGTAAGGCATCCTCTACATGGGGAGAAATTTCCTGAGGTAGGGTATAATTGTACCTTCTCTATTTTTTTTTTTTTCTGCTGCTGTATTTAGAAGTTATATCTAGAAGTTATTCACAGGAGCCTGGAAGGTCGTCTCTTCACTGTCGAATTTATCAGCCTGATCAGCCAAAATTTGGGTATGTAACAAATGTATGCGTTGCTAAATATGCAAGGCGTCAAGGGATTGCCAGCAACATGCTGTTATTGGCCATAGATGCTGCAAGACTCAACGGTACAGAAAACATTGAGCTATTCTAGAATAGCCTGTCCCGAATGAAAATGCACGATCCACTGATATCTTCAACCCATTACAGGTGCTGAAAATATTTACATTCATGTGCATAAAGATAACTTACCAGCGTGGAGGCTCTATGATCAGATAGGATTCAAGGTACGTGCCTTGTCTCAGTTTAATCCTGAAAAATTTCGTGAAGTTACAGAAGTCTAAATTGAAAATAACACTCATGCTATTTGTTTGTAGATGGTTGACCAGGATGGTGCTTGTTGTTCATCAGATCTGTGCTTACTCTCCTTCAGTTCATAGGACTTGCTGACTAGATAGGAATAGAAGGGACATGGACTACCCTTGCAGGGAAATGCCATCGGTCCTCGTGATTTGAAAAGGCGAGATGGTATGTGCCAAGGAATACCTTCACCACCTTGTACAAAGTGTTTTCAAATGTTTGTGACTTTCGAGATTGTCACTAGATCGGTGACAGTTCTGAATTCTGATGCCCCAGAATGTTGAGGTATCTGAATACTTCAAAAGCTTCTGTCATGTATAGTTTGCGCAGCCAGCAAAGTGCAAATGTTTCTTCGTTGCCCCTGTGATTCTGCAATGAAAAATTGAAAATACTTTATCTTGGTACCTGATACTGTGACTGTGCTCTTGTTCCTGGTCATATACAATTGTCAAGTCATGGAGCAACAGATGAACATCAATGCCTTCCATGTCTGGTAAACAGATCTAATGCTTCTATGGTAGCCACATGTACAACTCGAATCTGTTGCATTTCCTTCCTAGTGGGGCGTGAGGTTCTCTTGTTACTTCGCTGGAGCCATGCCGAGCTCTTATCCCGGTGGAATTACAAAAAAAAAAATAAAAATAAAAATAAAGATTCATAAGCGTCGTGCAATTTGCATAGAACGAACAGATGGCCAAGATTAATGAGCCTTATTCAACGGCCTTTACTTATAAAATTTGCTGAAAATTCACAAATTCGAATCGAATTCTTACTCCTTTTTTGATAACAGAATTCGTACTCCTAAGCGAAACCACACTGACCTCGAAGGCTCCACGCGTGTGGGCCACCCTACAGAGTTATCTCCGGCTCGAACCGGAGACCGGACCGTCCCGATCCGCACCGCACCCTTGAACAAGACGAGCAGGGGGCATCGCCGACTCGCCGTCCTGCGGCGAGACCCAAGCCAACACAGCCCAGCCATGCTGGTGCGCCTCGCCGCCTCGCTGGACGGGGCGGTGCTTGGCCTCGGCACGGCGGCCGTCGCCGTCGCGTCGTGGGTCAAGTACCTCGCCGTCTCGGGGCGGCTGCGCCTCGTCGCCTCCGCGGCGACGGCCTCCGTCGCCGACGCCCGCTCCCTCCTCCCGGGCGACGGCGACGAGCCGCGGTGCGGGGCTACGTGCGGACCCAGGGCTCGTTCCTCCGGGCCCCGTTCTCAGGCGAGGCGGGCGTCGTCGTGAAACACACCCAGATGGTGAGTCCCGCCGTCGTACGCTGGATACTTGCTCGTTGCGGCCATCATTCAGAATTTCAGATTAGGGTTTATGCTAGCCCTAGACAGTAAGGATGCTGCGGTTCTGTTTTAATAAATCTTCAAGGATTGGGTGCCTTGTGATGGCTCTCGTGGCAACGAGATAATAGTCGGTACGGAATTCAGATGAAGCACTAGCCGTTTTGGCCATTGGAGCCGTCATGACACCCTGTCTAGTGTAAATTCTGCTACACTGATTAGATAGAGGCCTCCAATTGTTGTACAAATTTAAACATAGAGAGTCTCCCTTCTTCAGGGTTTCCCATTTCCTTTTATTATTATTAGTGGCTTCCAGGAATTAGAGGCTTAGTAGTTTGGAGTTCCATGATTCCCTTATGCAGGATTGGGTACTTCGGTAGATCTTTTCTAATTTCATGGTTTCCAGATTGGCTTGTGTGTTTGAATTTCTGTGATATGAGAATTGTTAACAACACTTTTTGAATACCAAGTCTTAATATATTTTCAAGTACCTGAGTTTGAAGTTTGTTATAAGAGAATGCTTACCTTTTTTCCCTTTGTTGTTTTAAAATACTGAATCTGCTTGTTATTCGTTGTCTATATCAATGTCTAACTGGTGGTATGTGGTTTTGTACTTTGTAGTGTTTGTTCACAGAATGGAGAGGCATCTTTGGATGGACCTTTGATCTGCATGCCCTTCTTTTCAGATCATGGAAAGAGCAAATTGTGACATCTTTTTCTCGATCGGTATTCCATCTACACTCATAGGGGGTACCCCATTGATATAAAAATCGAGAATACTCATCATCAATGAGCAACCCATTGATATAAAACCTTTGGTACAGAAAATTTTAGGTCTGCCCAATTGTGGGTTAGACGTTATTTTTGACAATAAAGTATAAGGGGGATCCTGAGCTGAGAGAGATGCTCTCAGCTAGGAAGGGAAAGTCTGTTTATGCTGCTCGTGCTCTCCACTTGATGGGCAAGGAAGGTTTAGATGAGCGAACACTCTGCATTTTGTTCATCTTGCAAGCCTGTGCCCATTACTAATCGAAACGTGGAGAGAGAATTCTTGAGTTTTTTCAAGAATGTTTCAACTCCTGAACCGGGACCTTAGAAGACCTCGTAAGATCAAGAGGCAAAGTGTAAAACTCGAAAGTGTTGGGGTTGTGTAGAAGTGATGTCTACCGCTTGCACCTGATGAACTCTTGTTTTTCATGCAGGTCCATCTACACTCATAAACAATATTATTATTAGGATAACCTTTACCTCGATTTTGATAGTGCTTCTCTTTCGCAAGTTTCCGTTTGTTCTGGTTAGTACTGAGTTAGGAAATTCTACAGAAGTGGTGCATATAAATGTGGATGAGGCAGATTATCAACCGTTGCCTCTTACTATCGTTTTATAAACTTATCCCACTTGAGACAACTCCTTACACATTGTTTCAAACTATTATTGGCAATGGTTATCCGGTATGTGCTTTTGATTGTTGAATTAACAACAGATATTTACCTATGCAATATTCAGCCCTGGGGTATATCTCCTAAGCTGTTATGTTATTTGTTCCATAGATTGCATTGTTGGATGAAGAAAAAATACTACCGATTGGTAAGAAAATTACAGCAATAGGACTATGCCGAGCAAAGAATGCAGAAACTGTCGAGATCACATCGTGCCCAGAGATCCCCTTTTTCTTGTAAGATGTTATTTGGTAATATGTTTTCATATTCTTTCTTTCTTGCTGATGCCAAACACCATTTTTTCCTCTATGAAATTCCTTGTGAATAAGGGAAGGAGGACATGCATTCTCTCGATGCACAAGTTTTTAATGCTTTGCCTTCACTCAGATCTGAACTAGCCAAGGATGAGATGCAAGCTCAGCTGGCTTCACGTGCTAGGATACTCTTTTGGGGTAGTATTGTTTTGGGAACCTTGTCGGTTTGCTTAGTGGGCCATGCCATTTGCAGGTATCAGTCATGAACTTGTTGTGTAAACCAATATACTGAGATACTTTGCAAAGTTCTTGTCTTGATCTATCAAATTATGTCATTTTTTCTATTATTTGAGTTATGATGATTGATACTTGATTATCTAGAGATATCCTGTTGAGCAATTTCAGTTTTTGCAGTCCTCTGACAATTTGAAGTTTACAATGTTGCAGGGGCTGGAAGAGAATCAAACTATGGAGAGAGGCTAGGCAGGCACAACAGATGTTTGAGGATGCTGAAGATGCTATTCGGGAAGATAACTCTAGTGATGATGATGATGATGATGAAGTAGGAGACGGGCAACTATGTGTTGTGTGCTTAAGGAAGAGAAGGAGAGCAGCTTTTATTCCATGTGGGCATCTTGTCTGCTGTTGCAAATGTGCATTAAGAATGGAGTGTGAGGTTGAACCATTGTGCCCTATGTGTCGTCAAGACATCAGATACATGATAAGGATTTATGACTCTTGAGGTAATTGGAAAACATCCTTTTTAGTATTTTATAAAGATGTCTCACTTTTTCTCTCAGTGCTTTTTTTCTAGCTATACAGTTACGATGTAATATACGGACTAATACAGTGAATAAAATCGCTAGCCTTCTTGTTCGGTTGCTTCATTAATGGCATAGTTGGTTTTGGATACCTCATTTATGGTCTTTACCTAGATGTGACATGCTGACTGAACTTTATTTCCTTCAACCGGGTAGAAATTTTTAACACCTCTTCCATTTAGGAACAGTTTTATCAAAAGAATAGAATGAGCCTGTAACTATATTCGACAGTGTGGTTGGTGTGGTGCTTGTTCAAATTATGATTATGCATCCTGAACTATTGCTGCTCTATGCAGTACTCCTACTATGGAGAACCCCCTGAGTTGCTGTGTGTTTAATTTAATTTATTCACAGATGAGACACCTATTTCTGTCCATTTCGTCTGAATTTTACCATAATCTAAGTAGCATATGAAATGAAGTTCAGAATGAATTCGTTTGATTTTATTTGCAGGTACCTTGCTGATAAGATCTACACGCTTCTTAGCTGACCCATGCAAACCTGAGGAGCACAACTGTTCATCCTGGATTTGTGAATATGTCTGTTCATCCTGGATATGTGTGACCCTCCAAGTTATGCCCTTGATTGCCTGGGACAAAATAGTTTTAGTTGAAGTTGTGAACTAACACATAGTTATTTTTTGTTTGCTTTGTGCATATCTTTATCCATTATGTAAAGCATAGGGTTTGTTGCAAATAGTTTAAAGATTTGGGCATTCTCTGCCGTCTGATCGTCACCTCTAGTGCTGTGGAAGTGTGTGGGTGTTGCAAAAGATAACGCTGCTCGTTGTGATGAACACAATATGCTGTTCCAGCTCTACGGTAACCTGGCACCAGATGACAGCGGTGTCCGTGCGCCGGAGCCTACGCTTGCCAGCGGATAACATTGCCGAAGCTGTCTTTGGCTAAGCGTCAGAGTCACCCTGCTTGTGCTGAAATTTGGTTTATGCTGACGTTTATGCTGAAATGTTGTGCGAGGAAAATACTATTCCATGCCTTAGCACAGGGCATACTGCTAGTTGACCATAAGGTGCAGGGTCTCATAGCAAATCCACTTTGATTACGGGAAAAGTCGTCTAGGATATTCTGATGCCAACAAATGGCCGGAAGTTAGATGGGCACCGAACAACATTTCAAAATAAAGGCCACGTTTGTTGGTCACAGAAGCAACGAGTACAAATTCCCAACTGTGACCTAGAGAGAGGTGATTTGCCAAGAAGCCCATCAGATCGGTGGTTTAAAGAAAGGCATGAATTTATCACTATGTCGCCCCCCACCCAATACAAACGTAGACACTCACATATACGAGCGTATATTCATCCCTATAAACGTACGTATGCATATCCTATTCCTATAAGCATCTCCAAATGATTAACCATTGCTAAAATTAACGTGTATAGCTAGAAAATTTATGTTGACAAATTGTTATAATAAATTCGTTTGCTAACAGTTTTGAACCAAAATCGGATTGTAAAGGTCATGCACAAAAGTTCAATTTACGTAGAAACTATATATTGAAAATGTTATAATAAGGTGTTACTTCTTCAACTGTTGTTGACTCTTCCAAAACATTCCAGATACGTAGACTACGAGAGCCAGGTGAATAATAGTTGTGTAGTATCTTCAAGACTTAATACTTATAATGGTACCAATCTAATTAATCTTGGCAAAATAGCCATTTTGTCCCTAAACAATTGTCCGAGGGTCAGTTTGATCTCTGAACTTTCAAACTGTCCACTTTAATCCTTAAACAATGAATTTGTAGCTCAATCTCATCCATCTCCTTCATGGCTCGCCAAGTGGCCAACAATACATGCGAAATGTCGCTCTTGCCCCTTGCTCCCTCCTTTAAACACCGGCCAGGCTCACAGCGTTTCCTCCCTCGATATGGGGGAGACAGGGGAGATGAACTGGATTAAGCACATGGGGGGAGGGAACTAGGTAGACCCAGCGGCCAATGGCTCTTCCTCCTCGATGGAGATGACGAACGAGACAGAGAGAGAGAAACGGGGATGAGAGGGAAACACCATGAGCCTGGTGAGCGAGCAGGTAAAGGAAGGAGCAAGGGGCAAGAGTGACATTTCACATGTAGTGCTGGCCACGTGGCGAGCCATGAAGGAGGATGGACAAGATTGAGCTGCAAATCCATTGTTTAAGGACTAAAGTGAACAATTTAAAAATTTAGGGACCAAACCGAGCCTCGGACAATAGTTTAGGGACGAAAATGGCTATTTTGCCATTAACCTTTATTTTGTTTTAACTCAAAGCTAGCATCCATGCCATCCTTTATTTTGTTTTAACTCAAAGCTAGCATCCATGCTGATGGCAAGTGGCTCCTCGAGGCTCCAGCACGGGGAACAGACAACAATCATAGGCTCCACTCCCGGCGCCAACTTAGCCGTTGCTCCGCTCAAACGGTCACTCCTCCGTCTGTATTTAAACCTCCGCACGCGCCACGCCCTTCCCTGCCCCTCTCCTCTCAAGTCTCAACTCAAACAACACATCACGGACTCACACGATCACTGTCGCACACTCGCACAGAGAACACAAACACCGCACAGTCGCACACCCAGAAGGTAATGGCGTCCGCCACCGGGAACTCGAGCCTGCGGAGCTGCTCCTCCCTTCCCAACCTGCTGGTCTGGCTCCTCAACCTCTCCCTCCTCGTCCTCGCCGCCGCGGCGCTCGGCCCGGTCTTCCTCTTGCGCCCGCGCCCGACGCCCTTCGGCTGGGCGCTCGTCTCCGTGCACGCCACCACGCTGCTGTCCGCACTCGCGGCGCTCCACGCCCAGCTTACGCACCTCTGCCTCGCCGCGCACGCGGCGCTCGCGCTCGCTGCGCTGTCCGGACACGCGCTGGCCTCCCTGGCCTTCTTCCTCCGCCACGACCACAGCCTCCGCCTCCTCGGCTCCGCCAGGGACCGCCGGGAGCAGTTCGTGCTGGCGTTCCTGGAGGAGCTGCTGCTGCTGGCCATGTTCACGGCGCAGGCCGTGGCGCTGGCGGCCACGTGCGTGGTGAGCCGGCGGTGGGCGAGGGAGTACCAGGCGGCCGAGACGGAGAAGGCGGCCGCGGCGAGAAAGCGAGGGAGGAAGATGGCGCGTGTGCAGGCCGAGTCGGCGGCCGCCGCGGAGGCCGGGGTGAAGGCCGTCGACGAGAAGGTGATGCGGAGCAGCAGCGGCAAGAAGGTGCACTGGGCCAACAACGATGGATTCGAAGAGTGCTAGAATAGCACATGGAAGTAGAAGAATCACTAGTAATCTCATAGCTATGTTATTGTTCAGAGGTATGATGGCCATTATAGTGTGGCCAGAGTATAATCAACTAGAGTTGCTATTTGTTTTTAGGGGCTACTATGTACTACTATTAGAGTCGTTCTGTTTACTGAACTTTCTATATAATGAAGCTTAGCTTGTTGGACATTGATAGACCATGAACAATAGTCACGCCCCAATGATCTCCTTGTTTACAGCAGCACCATTACAAATTTACGATGTTGGAAGGCCGTGGTAAATTGCTAACATTATTGCCCTTCTGGGTGACTATACTTGCTACTCTGGTTGGCTAGATAAACTGTACACGAACATGGTACTAGCCTACTACTGACAATTAGCCGGAGCTAGAAAACCAGTATCAGCACCCTCTATCAGTCAGTACCATCTTGAAGCACTGTCCTTCGGCTGGGTCAAACTAAACCCAACAATTCAGTATAATCTTGTGCTCAGATCACCCTGCCATTTTTCTGTGTTCTGAAACGACCCATGCAGCTGCAGAAGCAAAGAATTACTGACGACCGTGGGTGGCGGGGTCATCAACAAGTGCAAGTTTACATAGAAGGTGGCCCATGTTGACAAATCAAGACGGCGGTCGGGCAAGTCAAGCGAAGGCTTTGGAGGACTTGACGGCCGGGCGATCGAGGACGACGGTGAGACGTGTCGAGTCGTGGGGCGAGCGTATGGAGTACGCTACCCACGAGCGGTTTGGTGATTTGAGCCTCAAAACCACCAATGGACGTTTTTGGGTTTGGGCTTCAAAACCGGGTGTGGTTCTGGCGGGAAATCGGAGGCGGCACATGGCGTCATCGTGAGGCTTGCGTCGAGGCGAAGCTAAGTCATGAAGGCCGCGTGGCCATCGGATGCTTCTATCTCAAGTTAGACCATTATGCCCCTATGGTTCAACAAAATATCTATGGGACCGTTTGGATCTTTTCATTCGGAGAAATTGAAATCTGTTTAATAAACTAGGCCATTTGGTTTGGAATTTCATATTCCACCACTTTCCAAAGTTCACATATAAGCCTGTCTCAAATTCATAAGGTGAAAGATGGAAATTAATTCTAGAATAAATTGCACGGCCGGTCCTTAAAGTATTGGGCTGATTTCGTCTGGGTCCCCAAACTATGAAATCGCACTCCTGACTCCCCAATCTACTTAATTTGGTTCATCTAGGTCCTAAACAGCCCAGGCGATGTCAAGCAGTCGACGTGGCTATCCACGTACGCAGGGGAGGCACGTGAGGCACACGTGACCCTCGGCAGTTGTTGGCTTTTTAGCAAGAAGGCCCCCGGACGATCTCATCTTCTCCCATTCACTCCTTTCCTTTCTCTCAGACCTCGACGAAAGGGGAAAAAGGGGCGGAGCGCGGCGACGCCGGTGACTGGTGCCGTTGACGGAGGCGGCGCTGGCAGAGAGCGAGTACGACCCGACGGCCGCCCCTTGAGGGCCCTCTAGGCGCAGGTGGTGGGGGAGATGGCCGCCGAATCGAGCTCGGTGGCGGCGACCAGGAGGCCCGGTGATGAGTCGCGACTGATTACGTGCCCGAAGTGCCATCGTCATAAGGTAGTAAAGTGTTGTTCGAAGCAGCTGTGGTCCTTGGATCAGATCTTCTACACCTACCCAGATCACAATGTAAGTTAGGTTTGCCAGTTTGAGTTCATTCCAAATTCAAGTATTAGAGTCCAAGTTTTCATTATGTGTGCTTTGTCTGTTTGATGAATCTGCAGAAGGATGGAACTGGTTGCCCATTTTTCCTTTAGGAGGCAGGATACATCAACCACTTGGAGACAGAAGCAGCAAAAGAAAAGGCAGCTGGGATGCAATCTGATGAAGTTACTGAGAGCCTTTTGGAGAAGAATGTCGACCTAGGAAATGGAGATGCCACAGCTGTTGAAGTAGAGCATGCCACATCTGTTGTAGAGCTTAGAACTTTGATCAATATAGGATATGATATTGCAGGGCTCTTGAAATGCATTCTCTGTATGTGCTTGATAATTGTAGTTGTGCGACTGCTACTGGTGTTTGTTCATATGAAGTGAATGATGAATGTGAAGTAGGTTTGGGGAGTAGGAATGCTTTTGTTTATGTGTGAACTTGTAATATTTCCATGTAAGAACTGGTAATGCTTTATGGTATTGATCATGTATGTTATCTGACTATAATTTGTGGTATTTGTGACTGCAATTTCAGAAGAACACATTTCACTTATGCAAACTGCATTGTGATGCTTAGCAACCAAAGTTGTACATACAGTCATGAAGTTGTACATCCAGTCGTGAAGTTTGTAGCCTAAGACAATGGGCATTGCATCACATGCATACAACCATCTATACAAGATGTCTAGACTTTTGGCATGCATACTAGTGTTTATGCATTACAAAAGATGTTTCTATCCACAAAAGCAACTATACTACTACGCTATTCCATGTTGCAAAAGCTTCAACAGAGTAACAGGCAGGGATCACTATCTCTAGAGGTATCCTCTCATGTCTCAAGCAGGAAATGGCATGGGAACATGGAATACCTGTGAGATCCCACCTCCTACACTCACATTGCTTGTTGACAATATCAACAATGTATGTGTTTTCCTTGGACTGCACTTGGAATATTCCTTGGCCAGCAGGCATGGCATAGCAAATATTAGCAAATTCAGCATTCTTGGCAATTTTTTCCTTATCTTTGGGCAAACAGTTCCAACAAAGTTTCCTGCTTCCTTTTGTTTGTTGTAGTGTCTAGTCATTATTTGGTTCTTGATCCTCTCCAACATACTCCTCTCCAACATACTTAGGATGGGTAGCTCCCTAGCTTCTAAGATGTACTTGTTAAAGACCTCACAGTTGTTATTGAGCAACACATCACATTTTGGGAAAGTGCTGAAAAAGGCTTCGACCCAGGTATTTGGTGCCATTTGCTCCAACCATTGGTGGGCAGCTGCATCTATTTCCTTCATTTTTTGCATGTTCTTCTCCCAATGCCTCACACAAGTGGACCTAGCATATGTCCACAACTGGTTTTTAAGGTTGTCACCTTTGAAATGGACTTAGAAATTTTGGTACAGATGCCTCACACAAAATCTGTGCTTAGCCTCAGGGAACACTTGTGCCACAACTGGGATAAGACCCTACAAAAATACGGTGGTAATGTGTTAGTGAACAAACATGCAAATGTTATTAGTCAATGATTATGCAGAAAACTTTGTGCAAATGTTATTATACCTTTTGCTTGTCTGTCATGATAGTCCATGGGAATGTTTTGTCAATGCGGAGGTCATCTTTTAGGCTTTGCAGAAACCATTTCCAGGACAAGAGAGATTCAACTTCCACCACTACAAAAGCAATTGGGAAGATGCAGTCATTTGGATCCATCCCTGCAGCAGTAAGCAACTGCCCTCCAAACTTTGTCTTCAGGTGGCATCCATCCAAAAAGATGATTGGTCTGCATCCACTTAAGAAACCTCTTTTACAAGCATCAAGTGATAAGTAACAACTACTAAATGCCCCTTCTATTAGATTAAGGTAGAAGCTGCTACCAGGATTAGACCTTCTCAACTCTTGCCCATAATCCCACAACTAAGAGTACTGCTTCAACTCATCACCATATATAGTCTGCAATTCAAATTTTCTTGCTCTCCATAGCTTGGTTCTAGATGGAGTAAGGTTCTATTCCTTTTGAATAGTTCTTGCAAAGTTAGGTAGGGTCATCTTGTTGTCTGCCCTAAATGTTTCCAAATAATTCTCTGCAAGCCATTTGGAGGTACAAGTCTTGATCATCCATTTTTTCTGGCAGTTGTGATGGCCATTGTATGTCTTCACTAGAAAACAATTTGTCCTACTGTCCATGGATGCATAGAAGTTTTATGGACACCCTTCAGCACAATGAGCCTTGACTCTCTTCCTATCATTTCTGGGCATTTTGATCTCTACCCTATTCCTAAGGCTATACTCTGTGATGGCCTTCCTCACAAGCTCAACTGTATGAAATACTTGCCCTACCCTGAATTATGGATTCAGCAAATCTTCCTGCCAAAATTCCCTAAACCTGTTCCTATTGCTACTTTCATCAGAATCTGCCAAGTCAATCTCTTCCTCTTCTGTTGATTCATCATCATCTCCAACTAACATAGTCATAGATTGCTTCCTCTTGAGTTTGCTGCCCGCAGCCTTCTTCCATTTGAACATTTTACAACTCTTAGTTGCCCCTTCATCAAACACACCAACATCGACATTGTCAGCAAATAGGTCATCATTAGAAAATCCAATCTCATAATCACTATCATTAAAGTCTGAGTCATCTGAATTACTGTCATCTGCCTCAATGCCATCGTGTACTAGATCTTGGTTCCACTCAGTGGCCTTCCTCAGGTTTGTGTAAAACAGCTGTCACAACCTTAACAGGACTAAAGACCTTGGGCAAACTACAGACATGATTTGCTACAATGTCATCCCAATTGATACCAGAACAAATCATATCATTATGATCAAGATAAATGACCAGGATCCTCACCCCATCAATCACAGACATCATGACCATTGTGTCACTGTCAGTCTCTATAAGTCTCAAACCATCTGTTATTGTCTTCCCTAGCAATAACCAATGCACCTTCAGTGTACGTGATTCCTTATCATAACCTAACTCTTCCACAAAGTCCTTTATCCATAGGGGTGACCAAGTATCAGCATCACACTGATCAAACCAGTCAATTTTTCCTTCGAGGTAAGCACGGTTCTCCCGAATACCAACAAAAAACCACCATGATGCACCTCTAGACTGAACTGGTTAGACCCTGGACCTATATTTCAACCAATTTTCAACATTCAGTTCAAAATTTTTCCCATCCGTACCAAGAACCCTAGAACACCGCCATTCATGCCTACAAATCAACGACTTTCAAATGAAAATGGCCTAAATCTATCGTAATGTCCACAAATCCATAGCAAAAACTCAATAGAGGG